AAATCCCCTCTACAATTGTCTAATTTGTTGGGTGCAAATCACCAGATTTGCAATTGTGATTGCATAGTATTCTGTGCTATGTGCTTCTGTTTTAATTCGTTGTTTTTGCATTAAAAATTAATTGTTGTCGAGTAGAGTTGAAGCGGTGGCATATAGTTCGGTTGGTTAAGGGTTCGAGCTGCATTCGATGATTGCAAAGGTTTCCGACTAGAGCCTCTTAATTACATTACATTTAGGATCACAAAAGATTTGGAAAGAATCATAATACTAATTTATTTTGAAAGACATTTCATGAGGAATCGAGATATATAGTTTTGAAATAGATCCGCAAGAAAAAATGGATTGGGCTGTATTGCGCGCGGATCTATCTCTGCATCCAGAAACTAAAGGTGCTTCAGTTTCGTGGATCGTGGCAGATTCCAAGGAAGGGTCTTTATGCATATCTCATACCACAGGGGTGATATTACAACAATCCCTTGGAGAAGTGATAACGGCTACATTGGGGATGTTCCCAAGCACGTCCAAAAGCGGCGAAGATATTTATGCAGGTTTAAAAGACTAAGTAAAGAATTGAGACTCTGTGACAGTCAATTAGGTGGAGATAACAAATTTTAATTTGCAACTTAAGGATAGAGTCAAAGCAAAGACAATATAAACACTAAGATGAGTAACGCCATACAACAAAATGCTACTATGCAGCTTGATTTTTTGAAAATTGAGAACGAAAACGAAATCTGTAGCATTGCGCTCTCACAGCCGAGAGAACGAAAAAGCTAAAAATAGAATGTGCTCTCAGCTTCGGCTCTATAAGGGCCGTGCAAGCAATTATGTTTGTATGCGTGTGAATATACATACATAGAAGCATATTTGAATGTGTTGCTTTCCACTGCTCTGGCGGTCTCTGGCTGGCAAAGAAACAATTTTCGTAGTTTTTAAGCACAGATCACGGCCTACCCAAAATATCTGTTGATATATGAATGCATTTTGTGTACTGAGGTTGGCTCCGTACAAAATATGTATTTTTAAGTCGATGCAAATATTTATGTAATTTTTTATATTTGAAATTATTAATTAAATTATTATTATTTTTAAGTAATACAAAAAAATTAAGCAAATAAAAGTGCAAATTTCTTGTTTTCAAAGATACATTTAAGTAATTTTTATTTTTTTTATTTTATTATTATTTGTTCGAATTATAAAGAACAAAGTCGCCGCTCGAATTAGCTACCGATGCAAAATCGGTACCCAGGGAACACCGCGAGGAGGCCATTATAATTATAATGGGGTCATAACTAAATATGACCTTCGAGTCGACTTGAAATGTAATTGTATTTTTTAGCCCTCTTTTATTTCTTAATTGGAGAATAAAAATAATATTAATTTAATTTAAAGAAATTATGTAAATATTTGCATCGACTTAGAAATACATATTTTCTGCGGAGCCAACCTCAGTACACAAAATGCATTCATATATCGACACAAATTTGGAATAGGTCATGATCTGCGTTAGAAAACTAACAAAATTAATTTCTTGCCAGCTAAAGCCAGAGCAGTGAATAACAACACATACATACATACTTTATAGTTCTTATGCATTTATAATTCACGCATACAACGAAAGGTGCACGCACGCTATTGGCTGAGACAAGAACTTTTCTCGAGCATACACTGCCCAAAAAGAAGACTGAAATCAATCTATGTGTACTATTTTCTTAACATAGTTATTGCGCAAGAAGCGCCTTGTGTAAAAATTATAAAAGTTCTTCAATTTTCCTGTAAAATTATTTGTTAATATCTAGGGCAATATATCATTTAAATAAAGCATGCATTTCATGGATAAAGCACAAGCACTTTGCGTCGATCGTAAGCTCTAAACTTTTTCGCTCAATGTACTTCGAAAACGAAGCGACGCAAAGCAGCATCGACCAGCTTTGCTGAAGGCAGGCTGGCGACTAACTTCGTAGCTCGTGTCAGCATCAGCAAGCCGCGACTTCGGCATTCGTTCGTCTGGTCTTTGGAGAACGAACAACCAGTCGGCAGGCATGCCGTACGAAGCCTCAAAGGCCAGATGAAAGGCCAGGCTAGAAATTTTGCGTCGCATTAAAATGTATGCGCGTTACTCATCTTAGTGTTTATATTGTCTTTGGTCAAAGTAACCTTCTTGGCAGTGTCAACGATCTTGTCGCAATTATTCCTAGTAATACCTCCACATTTAACCCCAAATTTTTAAAACTGGCTGACTTCAAAGATCTTTGTTCAAATTCTTCCGAGGGGTGTTTTCCGATTTTTATACCCTGAACCCATTAAAAATAGGTAAAAAGGGTATATTGTATTTGTGCAAAATGCAAATGTATAAAACAGGCAGAAGGAAGCATCTCCCTCCGACCCCATATAGTATATATATTCTTAATCAGCATCAATAGCCGAGTCGATCTAGCCATGTCTGTCTGTCAGTCTGTCCGTCTGTCTGTCTGTCCGTCTGTCCGTATGTATGAACGCAAGGATCTCAGAACCTATAAGAGCTAGAAATTTTAGATGTAGGTCCTCCTAGTGCCTGCGCAGATCGAGTTTGTTTCCGATGATCGATAACTTACTCCGTTTTCAAGCAATCGATAAAAATCGATATAGACATCCTGTTTTTTGAGCAAAGTGGGTAAATAATAATAACCAAACATGATATGTTGCTTCTAGAATATTATATATATGTCAAGTATCTTTCATTTTTAACCTATCGCCATCTCCCCGCTACCACCCCAGAGCTATAAATCAAGTTAATAACCCATCTTATATTGCCAACCAATTTAAGCCACAATTTTAATGCAATTGACTTTTTGAGAATATACAAAAACTGCGCAATTGGATGGGCAGCTAGCGAAAACATTAATGCAACAACTTTAGTGTTGGAATAAGAGGGTTCAGGGTATTCCCTAGTCGGGAGCTCCCGACTAGTACCTCTTACTTGTTTAAAAATCTGTCCTTCCTATGTGGAAATGGGGGCCAAGAGTTTATTGGTGATGTGTCAAATTTAATTTGAAACGCCTGCTTTTCAAAAAATGCAGGCCTGTTGGATGGAAAAGGCGAGTCCGAGTTTTTAGGATAAGCTTTAAGATTGGTCCAAACAGCTTCAAACTTATTTTCAAATCTCTTCATTAAAACTTAATAAAAATATGTTTCAGCTATTTTGGAAATTCAATGCATAAATGCAGTAAATTGGTAAAAAAAAAAAGGTTGTTGAAAGCATTTTGTTAACAATCCAATCATTTAAATTAATTGTACGGTATTAATTTTTTTCTCTATTGGAATCAAGTTTTTTTGGAATCATTAAATCAGAATGAGTTCGTGTCCTAGCGATATTGGAGTTTCCACACGCAACTGTGTAAATTTAGCGGATCAGCTTCAAACTCATCTGAGAAGATCTTTGAAAATGTTAAGTATTTGTCAAATGTTTAATTTACGATTCTCACCACAGGGCTAACAAGGTCGGAAACCATTTTATTCTTTCTTTGATAGACTTTATACAAGTTTTGAAAGTAATTTACAATGTGGCTGTGTAGAATCGTCAGCTTGCTTGAATGTGCAATGTTTTACGGCACAACATGACTACGGCCAAACTAAAAATATGCTTGTTTGGATCGATAAGCAATAACAAAAATTTATGCGTGCGCGATACACAATTAAGTTATTCAAAAGTGAACACACACAAAAACAAGTATATGCGCCGGGGAGCGCCAAAAAAAGAGATAATTAAAACAGGTTCTAATAATAAACTCTCTCTGAGAGAAATTGGAATTATATACAAAGGTACAATAAGATATTAACGTACAATATTTGCTTGCTAATAACAGAAAATTAATTACAAAAACATTTGCTTTTTTGTACCGAATCCTTATTTGTAAAATGATCCGCTTGCTTTTATGATTAGTTATTATTTAGGATAGGTTCGGTGGATAGCAAACAATTATCTTTGATCATGAGACTCTGGTTGTTGATGTTTGTGCTAGAGAGATTTTTTCCGTTTCTGCTTCTTCCAGCACCACCATATTAAGTTATTACATCCTACCTATTTTTTTTTGGTTAATTTTATTTATTTACCAACGCTTGCAGCTTTTTATTTACCTTAAAATAAAAATTATATTACTTTTTAATAATTAAAGCTTAAAAATAAATTTCGTTTGAGGGATTTACACGTCTGCAAAGAAATTTATGTCGGTTTTTACACTCTGCAGTCGACTTAAATTAATATTTAAATTTAATATTTAAAGAGTTTTCTCAGTGTTAAATTGCGTTTAAGTAATGTTCATAATAATTACTTTGATGTATATAATCCCCAAATAGACAGGAATATAATAGTTTATTAAATCCCCTATATATTGCTATCAATTACTAGTACTTCACGGTAATTGTTGGAATTTATATTTCATTGTAATAATGAAAGAAAACTTTTTATAAAATATAGTGGGATATTATATGCGGTAAATAAAAGCTGATAAAGAATAAGTGGGCACTTATTATTTTAAAGTAAATTTTCTTTCTGATTTTTTTACAATTATAAATGGTGATAATGGTGATAATTTTGGATTTTCTACTGTAGTTGGTGTGAGTTCAGTAAATGTCACGTTTTTAGGGCTGTTATCGTTTCTTTACGATGGATTTGGCGTCCTTGTAGCTACTAGGAATTTTAAAGGGGTTTGTTTAGGGGAAATTCATGTTGCACAAAAAAAAAAAAACTTATAAGATAAGAAATAATTGCATAATATGTGAAAACCACATTTAACTGGGAAACAAGATGTCTAATAGAAGAAAGAGAGAAGAATGAACGGAACTTTAGTTAACCGTGTACATTTCGACATGATCACCATTCTGTTCAGTTCTTCGACATTTCTGGCCACGACATTTCTTACACTTACAAAAGTACGCCTCTATATATACACATACAGCTGTTGAAATATCGGTATATTAAGTTCGCAAGTCTTAATCACTATTTTTTATACCATTCTTAGGTTCACACAAAATCTATCGACGTTTCGACGAGACGTAGTTAATCTACCAAAATCGGCAACATATTCGACAGGTATGTAAAACACGTCAATAACATCACAACATTTAACTTATGGATAAAATAGATATATACTTCAATCCGCAAAATAATCGAAACACGATAAATTGATTAAAGTGGACCCCATGGGTGCTTGCGACCGTTTTGTTATGCCCAGAGAGATCGACTGCTCAGTATGAAGACGCAACTCGCTCAGCGCACAACGCCGCTGCGGCTAATGCTTTTTGAAATATATGTATGTTAGTTTTAAATTTGTACAGCCCAAAAACATATGTGTGTATACATGTGAAGCGTGTGCTTCGCTCTCACTCATGGGTTTGCGCTCCTGCATAGCTCTTCAAAAAACCACGAGATATACAAACATACATTTTTTGTGTTGTGTGAATAAGTAGAGCAAGTAGATCAGTTTGTTGTGAGCCAGAGATTTTTTCAATGGGCTGGCGTTGCCTTCGGTTTTTTGGTAGACCCTTTTGTGCCTGCGGTATCAAAAAGCACACACATTCAAATGCTCTATTATACATTTGTTCGTCCAGTCAGGCATAATGAGAAGAATCTGATTTATTTTTTTTCAATAAAAACTTAAATGGCCCAAATGAAATATTTATATTTTATACATTATAATTATTTTGTTTGTTTTGGGCGACCTATTTTGCTTACACAAAAAAATCTAAGTCGTATTTCTGCAAGAGTAACTCATCGTTGGCTTGTCGAAGAATTCTGAAAAGTACCAAAATTGGAAAATGTTCACTTTTGTGCCTTTCTACTTGTGCACACACTTGTCACTTGTTTGCACTTTGATATGCGAAAAATGCAAGTGATCTTCCTATGAATTTATTGAAATTGTAAAAATGTTAAAGGGTTAAAGGGTTTTATGACAGGGTGTTAACGGGCAGAATGTCTAGCATGCGTGTGCATCCATATAAAAATGCAAACTAGTGACATGTGTTATTCTCCTGGTTTCATTGACGGTTCACACATACATATGTGCCTTTTGCGGCCGCAAGCTCAGCGCAGGCATGCTTAAAAAAAAACGAAGACCGTGCATCCATTGAAGAAAATATCTCTAACTCACGACAAACTCTGCTCATTCGCACACATTTGTGTTTGTAAACAGCTCGAAATTCAGATAGCCCAAAAACATCAAATCCTGTCAAATTTGCATCAGACGGGCAGGAAACCAACAGGTACACAAACGCATAATTGCTTCCATCCATATAGAAAATTGTGTAAGTGTGCGTGCTTCGCCGGCGCAAAATGCTTACATGCACAAATGCCAACGTACAGGTACCCTTACCAACAACAAGCATGGCACATAGTAATTTTGCACAGGAACCCTTTAATAATTTCACAAAACTGTTCACTCGAAAGAGAAGGCATACTCTAAGTAATCTAATTTATATCATATCGCAAGTATTGAACAGTTTCCTTTTTTGGTATTTTGTCTGAATTCTTCGAAAAGCCAACGATCAATTACCCTTGTAGAAATATGAATTCCATTTTTTTTATTTTAACAAAAAAGGTCCCCAAAACAAACAAAATAATTATAATATGAAATATTTATATTTCAATTAGGTCATTTAAGATTTTTTTGAATAAAAATAATTCAGATTCTTTTCATTATGCCTGACTGGACGAACGAATACATAATAGAGCATTTAAATGTGTGTGCATTTTGCCACCACAGGCACAAAAGAATCTGCCAAAAAACAGAAGGCAGCACCAGCCCATTGAAGAATAAATCTCTGGCTCGCGACAAACGCCCTGATCTTCTTGTGCGCACATCAACACAACATAAACATATGTATGTATATTTGTAGATCTCGTGGTTTTTTGAAAAGCTATCCAGGGAAAATGAGAAGCACACGATGCACATGCATACACACATATGCCGCAGCGATGTTGAGCGCTGAGCAAGATGCGGCTTCCTACTGAGCGTTCGGCTTCGAGGCCGGCGTTCGGCTGCCACTCTCAGCAGTTTGTTTCTCTCTGCGCATAACAAAATAGTAGTATTATTTTGGTGTTTGACGCATCTATGGTAAGTGGTCAAACCTTGAATTCTCAAGTACTAACATCGTATTAGATTTGAGGCGTTCTCATGCATATATTTTACCTGCATGCAGTTCCAAGAGTACAAGTACGATGTACGAAGGGTAGTTTAGAGCGCATGTGTAAAGTGTTTGAAATACATGAAATACATTCCCCTTTTCAAAGATATACGTGTATTTATAAGTATATTTTTTTTTATACTTTTGTTTGGGGTATAGTCATGAAATTTACAACGTCCATAAGGAATCTCTAAAACCGTTAAAGAGTATATATAGATCGGAATCGACTTCTGAGTTGATATACCTTTGTCCGTCTCCGTCCATCTGTCCGCCCGTCTGTTTGTTTTTATGCGATCCAGTAGTTTGAACAGACAGCACATGTACGTCCTTTCGTCCCCTCGTATGTATAAATGCGACGATCTAGCCCATACATTTTAAACGTAGCTTCTTATTTTGCAGCCGTAGGAAATTTATTGATTGATTAAATCGGTATCGAAATCCCGTTTTGTGCACAAAGCAGAGGTAAAGGCACAAAATTTGATATGATGACTCTCGTAAAGTATACACAGATCGATAAAATTTAACTTTTTAGATACGTTCCCTCCTTCCCTCAAAAGAACAGGGTCCACTACGGACAGGGTTAATGCCGTTCCTTCAATAGTCAACATGGTGATCAGTGCCAAGCCGAACAATCCCAAAGACACAAGAAAAGTGAAAAAGAATCCGCGGAGCCAATGGATGTAGACGTTTCCATTTCAAGGTTCAGGCAGCACACTATCCATCAGCAACAACAATGTTCGGGAATGCAGAATTTAAATGCACGGGCAGGAAAAAGAGTATATACTTCAGAGCGGGTCTTCGGGTAAAGCTGGCAAACGGTAAACCATGTTGTTCAAGAAGAAGTAATGATATTAATGCCACTACTGCTGTCCGTACAGCGAAATGTAACGGAAGTAACAGGGTTAATAAACTTAGTCTCTGTAGATTCTATTTTTCTTTGCGGATCAAATAATATCACACAAATGCTTGTTGAAAGTATTTAGCATAAGCAGCCCATTCTTCTTGTTAAACTCACTAGTTAGATCTGTTAACGCATATAGACTCCTATATCAGCTTAAAGGTCATTGAAATCAAATTTGGGAATGTATTAGAAAAGATACAATACCAAAGATGCAAAAATGTACACTTAAGCAAAGTTAATAATGTTAAGCATATTCTTACTGATAGCTGATATATCCCTACCCAATGGGAGAAGCCGACTTCGAAACTCCTGGGATAGCAGACTTTCCAACGAGCGACATTATCAGAGAGTCACGATCCCTCTATAATAATCCAATATAGGTGGTCGACTAAAAGGGAAAGGACGAGCTGGGTAATAAGAAAAAGCAGATGGTTATAGACTTTCGTAAACTAAATGAAAATACTTTACCCGATTCTAGATATTTCTATGATTTTAAAAAATTAGGAAAAAATCAGATGTTTCGCAACACTGAATCTAAAGTCCTATAATCAAATTCTGATTTCAGAACGCGATCGCGAAACGACCTCACTTTCTGTTAACGGAGGGAGGTATGAGTTCTTTTGACTCCCATTTGTACTGAAAACGCAGGTAGCATATTTTATATTGATGAAGTTTTGCGAATTGTAAAAGTCTTCACTTTCATTGCGCAGCCGCTCTCTAGTATCCTCAAGGCTGAAACGGCTTAGTTAGTTAACACCCATCTAAGAAAATGCTATTAAAATTAAATGAACCCCAACGTCATGCATTCGACAAGTTCAAACATATTGGCCTCTAAAAACATCATGCAAAGCTGCGCTGCAGCATTATATAAACATGTTTTAAAACTTTTTGAATTGTTCGTAAACACTTTATATTTTCCGAAAGGGAGTAAGTCCGCTGTCGAAAACTTTAGAGGTATTTCCAAATTATCCGCTATACCCAAAGCTTTTGAACGAACACCCACAGAAAGAAGAGCCTGGTGAAACACCAATCCCACTTCACACTGGGGAAAGGACCCGTACCGATATTTTCCCATCCGATTAGAAGTATTTTCTGTCATGTATAGACAAATTTTCTAAGTTTTCTATCGTTCAACAGATTGAGTCGATTAGATAAACCGTATGACTAATATAATAAACAAAATCATGAAAGCATAAAATTGGGATCAGATTGATTCCGGTCGAATCTTTACGAATTACTTTTAGCCCGGAACAGAATGTAAATTACCGTAGTTCAGAATCTTATGCACACAATAACTCTTGGTAAGGAAAACATTACAAATCCAACTATCTTAGATCACGCTGATTTGAAGTCTATTCTAAATGAACAACTCATAGATATCCTTGTAATTAGCTTAATGGAAGTATCTAATATTAAGATTTTACAGTCTGATAGCATCATACACTGCATTTTTAAATACCCTGAGTTAAGTTCTTATTCAAGCAAATCCAAATATTCACCGTAGAGCATAGTCACACAGTCTTGGAAATATTAGACAGTATCTTAGTGGAATGTGGTGGGGGTAATACCATAGCTGTCACAAATAGCGTCCCACGAACGTATTCGACGTTGTGCGAACTTGTGACATGCAACACCTGCGCTCGTGGCTTACAGGCAGAAAACGTCATCCACTGCCAATCGCAGCCCAGCCATCTGGAACCCATTACGATTGTCGAAGACGGGGTGATCACCATCAACAATTTCCCGGCTAAAAAAGCGTCCACAATAGTCGACCTCATATTCATCATATTCGACCTCACAGTGTTGGTGAATGGAACCAAGTTCATTAATCGCGACAATGTTGAGGGAAAATTCTCTGGATTCGCATCCACGTCGCTCCTAAACACTGCCGGATACGATCCAGTACTGAGCCTTACACTTCTACACCGACTAAATGAGCAGAATCTGCATGTCATCCAGCAGATCAGGGACGAAGTTTCATCTTCGTTGGAATTGGAATAATTGTATTC